CCAAAACCCCAAAACCCCAAAACCCCAAAACCCCAAAACCCCAAAACCCCACTAATAAGGTTGAGCAAAAATAAATTGATTGTTTAATTTAAGAATAATAATACATCAAAGAAAAGAAATAATGACTACTGAAAGCGTAAAAGTCGTTGTTCGATGTAGGCCATTTGTGGACAAAGAAACCAAAATGGGATGCAAAAAGATAATTGATGCTGAGAAAAATATCACCTAAATATCAATATCAAAGCCAGATGATCGAGACACAATCAAAAGTTTCAGATTTGATGAGGTCTTTGATGAGAATTCAACCTAACAATAAATCTATGATGAGGTCGCCTTCTCTCTTGTTGAATCAGTTTCTGAGGGCTATAATGGTATCTAATTTAGAATTCATAATATATTCAAATTAGGGACGGTGTTTGCCTATGGACAAACTGGTTGCGGAAAAACTCACACAATGATAGGTAATCTTGATGATGATAACCAAAAGGGTATCATGCCAAAATCATTCAGTCACGTATTTTCAGCTATTTCATCGGAAAACAACAAAGGAAAACAATTCCTTATAAGATGTTCCTTCATCGAAATTTACAATGAGGAAATAAGAGATCTCCTTAGTAAGTCAGTTTATTCATGCTAAAACTTTAATTATTATAGATATGGATTAACATAACAAGAGGAAACTTGAAATCAAGGAGAATCAAGACTAAGGGGGAGTGTACATAAAAGACTGCATAATTAAGGTAGCTCATTGTGCAGCAGATCTTGAGAAAGCACTAAAGGATGGCAATAAAAACAAAACTATGGGTGAAACTTAGATGAACAGGGATTCTTCTAGATCTCACTGTGTATTCACTATTTATTTAGAGACATCTGAAATTTTAAAAGTAAAAAAGTTGGATCCTTAATTAATTATTTTTCTAGAATGGACAATAAAAAATCAAAATGGGGAAGCTTAACCTTGTTGATTTAGCTGGTTCAGAAAAGCAAAAGAAAACTGGAGCGACTGGTGTTAGATTGAAGGAAGCAACCAAAATCAATTTGTCATTATCAGCTTTGATGAATGTGATTACTTGTTTAGTTGATGGTAAAAGTTCTCATATACCATATAGAGATTCTAAGTTAACCAGACTATTACAAGACTCATTGGGAGGAAATACCAAAACCTGTATGATAGCTAATATATCTCCAGCTGACTACAACTATGATGAAACTCTCTCAACTTTGCGATATGCAGATAGAGCTAAATAGATTAGAAATAAACCAAAGATTAATGAAGATCCAAAAGATGCTCTTCTCAGAGAATATGCAGAAGAAATAAAAAAGCTAAAGGAGTAACTTGCTTCGATAAATACTACAAGTGTAAATGTGCAGTAATAACTTCCAGAGCCAGCTTTAAGTCAGACTCCTGTTTTGCTTACACAATAATCTGAAAACAAGCCAAATTTAAATACTTAATCACTAAATTTCTAGAACTAATCTCATTCAGCAACTTAAATAGATAATTTTAGGAATTCTCAGACTCAAAAATAAAGCATCCACAATTCATTGTCGCAGTCTCCTCATTTGAAGTAGGGGATTCCAAAGATGCGAAATGCTAATGATTACACTAGTTCAGGTGGAAGCTTTGTAAGCCACCCAAAGAATAGCTAATAGTCATAATTAGCTGATGAGGAATTTGCCCTATCCAATAGTGAATTTATGACAGAGCATGATTATAACAGCAAAAGCGTAAGCCCTATAAATTCTATTGGAGGTCGTAAATTTGTGGCAAATCTAAACAGGACGATTGAATAAAAAGAAAGCTCCTCTGTAGATGAATAGATGAAATAAAGAATGGAATAGGAGCTAAAAGCAAAATAAGAACTGGAAAGTAAACTAAGGGAGTTGCAAGAGTAACTTTAAATGGGTGGTAATTAGATATTAGAGGCTTAATAAGAAAAAATGAATTAGTATAGGGAATTCTAAATTAGGTTGAAATAGCAAAAGTAAAGAGAAAAAGAACTATTGGAAGTGAAAATTAAGCAAGAGGAGGAAATGATGCTTGTGGAAAAGAATTATCATACTCTTTAAGAAGAAGTAGATGACATGAGAAAGTTGATAAAAATATTCAGGACTAAATACAGGCAAGCAGTAAATGAAATCAAAGATTTAAATACAGAACATAATAGAGAAAGAGCTGAGTTATTTGAAAATCTTTAAGACTATGAGAAAGAAAATGCTCTTTATAGAGAGCTTATGAGAACTCTCATAAGTGATAGTGAACTTAGTAAACTTGTAAACAAATGTGATTACGATCCTGATAACAAAAAATGGGATGTTCCTTTGTTTATTATCAAAGAAAAATCTGTTTAGCTGCCTAAAATGCCTGGTGGTCTTAATAGCAATAAAGCTAAAGCTGATTACAAGTAATAGCAATTCAAGTAAAATCGAGATATAAATTAGGCATTAGTAATTGATAGAACAACAGTTTAAACATAGTAAATTAATAGAGTCGCAAACTAACATTCTGATGTTCTAGTTAAGAGATCTTTGAGTTAAACTAATTACGATAAATGGAAGGATTTTAGTTAAGGTCGTAAAACTCTTTAAGATTTCGCTGAAGCTCCAAGCATGAAATAATTGGCTTTAATCTCTAATACTGAGCAACCATTAAACCTTTCTAATCAAAATAAAGTTGAAAAATAGTCTTAATCTAATCTAAACTCTTTCTCTCTTCCAAAATCTAGAGACAATAGCTTAGAAAGCCAAATTGTTGCAGTTGTAGCTAATAAAAAGCCTAAAAAGAAGATTTAATTAAAGCCATTGATTCCTCCTACAAATTAATCATATTAGTAAGAATCTGGATCTACAAAAAATATCAATTCAAATGGAGACATCTTTAATCATAATGATTCATCGAAATATAATTTCCTTGACAAGAGTATTGGTTTTGTTACAAATACTTCAAGCACTCCAACGAGCAATTTCGCATAATCTCAGTACAGTCTAAGCAGCTAAAAGTTGCCTACAAATATGAAGCCAATAAACCTAAAAGTTTCTTAAAAATTAAATCCAATTGCCAAGAAAAACCTTATCAACTAGCTTAAAGCCCACCTTGCAAAAGATTCTACGATAAATAACTTAACTAATTCTAACAATACCAATAATAACTATAACATCATTCATAAAACTGACATCTAACAGCTTAACTTTAACTTCTTTAAAACTTCCAAAAATGAAAGTCCTGAAGTGAATGAATCTGATTCATAACATAGCAGCAAAAATAATAGCAAACAGAGCGCATCATTTTCAGCCTAAAGAGATGGCTCTAATCATGATAAGAGTAGCAAAAGGAAAAGTATTGAATTGAACATAAAGGCGACTCTAGACATTGATGAATTTTGAAAAAATTGAAAACTCAATTATTTTAGGAAATCTAATTAGGGAAAGAATTATAAATATCTATTATCCATCTAACAAAAATGTCTATTTGATATAATGATTATAAAATATTTCAAATTATTATTATTAATTTCATTTATTCATTATTTTTTGCTTAAGGGGTTTTGGGGTTTTGGGGTTTTGGGGTTTTGGGGTTTTGGGG